ACCACTTGAGCCACAGCGCCACTTCCAGCTTTTTTCTTTTTTGCTTATGTGGTGCTGAGGAATCGAACCCGGGGCCTCATGCATGCAAGGCAAGCGCTCTACCATTGAGCCACCTCCCCAGCCCTACATTTAAATTTTTATGCAGTACACTTTTAGACTCTCATTTCCATATCTTTGAGAATAATTTACACCAATTATTTAAGTGGCTGAGATTTATTTCAACCATCATTAAATTTCTGTTGTATAGATTTTCATAAGAATTCCTGAATGGTTACTCAGTATACAAGCAACTAATCCATATAACTCATATATCATGCTTGATGCAATTATGTAATAAAGTGACTTTGGTTTTTGTGGCTTACATTCTTGTCTTGTTCAAAGGTCTAAATGACTTTCAGAGATTTAATAAGACTTAATAATTTAATGAGACTCCCGCAGTGCTTCTTGTAAGGTGAAAATGTTTTTGTGATTGGGATAGTCAGAACAAATGTCTTCAAGTTTGAATGTTTCTATCTTGAATTAGAAAGTAAGCCTGTATTATATAGGCAATTAGTGAACTCACAGTATACCTAGCTCATGAATAAGCAAAGGTCCTTATTAAGAAGCTGATTATGTGAAAAACCAAATAGCAATAAGAACTTTCAAGTAGGCCTGCTTGTGCTTACGTTAGATGCTCTGGGTTTTGTTGCTGTGTCTGCTGTGGTACTTTCATATCTTGTTTTCACCTGCTTCATCACGTTGCTATCAGGGTATCTGTCTTAAAATGTTCAGGGACTCTGGAAAGCAGACAAAGTTGACTTGTTAGTATTGGGTTTAAAGTAAGAGCAAAAATGTGGTCTGGGAAAAAACTTCAAAGGCTTCCTCTGGGTACATGCCTGACAAGTCATTGCGGGCATGTACTCAGCCGGAGGAGCATGCTGCTTATCCCAACTTTTGAATGTCTTCCAGACTCTTGAGGCTGGCTGCAAGGTGACTCCTACATTATTTAATGTGCATTTTACAATTGCTATCAGACTTATAATTACTTTAAAGATCTTTACTTTCTGTCAAAATAAATAAGATGCATGTTCAAACTATTAAGATGTTCCATCCCTTTAGCTCACATAAAAACATAACTATAAATACACTCAAAGAAAAGTAACCACTTAGGAGATGAGCTATATCAAAGGATTTTCTAGTAATGTCTACTCAATCCAATAACTTTGCTTTGTTTTACCTAAAGAGTAGGCATTACTTCTATCTAGGTATGAAGTATTTTAGGAAGCTTTTGTTGTTTTGTGATTGCCAGTGTCATTCAGACTTAGGGGAAAAATATTAAAGTGTTGGCTAATTGAGATTGAAAAAGTAACTAGGACTTTTTGCTTCCTCAAACTTTCATCTGAGTAGCATCCTATCCACATGGAGAAAATCAGGCCACTTAATAGTATCCAGAAAACCACTTTAGGATTTTTAAAATAAGATTTGTAAAAATATTTTCTGCAAGAAAATGGCAGTATGCAATGGCATTGTTTCTTTGAAAAGTTCTATATTTTTATTATTCGACAAATACAGAGAAACAATTTTGAGAATATAAAAATCACCTGCAGTTTTATAGCTCTGTATATGCTGTTTATGTGGTATAGATGGCAGCCTGGATGTTCTTCATGGGCCCTGGATTGGCTGCCATGTTTTCATGATTTCTCTTTACAGACTCTAATTGAGATTTTCCAAAATATTGCTGACACCAATCTTGCTGATTTCATTGCTGGACTACTCACCATCATCATCTGCATGGCTGTTAAGGAATTAAATGATCGATATAAACACAGAATCCCAGTTCCTATCCCTATAGAAGTAATTGTGGTAAGTGGAAGATACTTCGTATCAGCTGGCTTGGCAAGCAAGGAATTGTTAAAACCAGTGGGGCCTGGTTTTTTGTTTCCCATCTTTTATTTTATTTCAGACCATAATTGCCACTGCCATTTCATATGGAGCCAACTTGGAAAAAAATTACAATGCTGGCATTGTGAAGTCCATCCCAAGGGGGTGAGTATGGCGTTCCTCTTAGATAATGCTAACATAGTAAGCTAGTACTTTCTATTGAAAGGAAGCCTTTTATTACAAGTCTCACTTTACTGGTGCTCCTCCAATAGTTCCATGTGCCTGTGATCTTGAAGAAACACCCATTTCTGCAAAGCGTCAAATAGTACAGAAGCAGATAAAGTTCAAGCCATTTGTTTAAAAGATTTTCTTAAAATGTCCTAGAATGTGCACATGTCATATGACACTCCTGATTTAACTCATATGTATAATTACAACAGAACAGAAACTCAGGCACAATTAGTAGCATTTCTTGCACGTTAGCAGTCTGCTTAAGGAACCAGGAATATTGGACCTAAATTCTCTACCATTCAGTTTAGTGACATAATAAAAACAGTATTGTTTGCATCTATAGATAAATTGCAGTATCTTCAAGAGGAGTTTGTCATATATTTGGTAGTCTGATGAATTAGACCAAGGTTCTCAGCTAGGCACAGTGGCTTACACCTGTAATCCCAGCTACTTGGAAGGTAGTGGTCAGGATGGTCTCAGTTTAAGGCCAGCCTGGACAAAAAGTTAGTGAGATTCCTTCTCCCCCATTCTCAATCAATAAGCTGGATGTGCTGGTGTTCAGCTATTCTGGAGACCATGGGTAGGAGGATTGGATCTTAGACTGGTGAGTGAAAGTGTGAGACCCTTCCTGAAAAATAACCAAAGCAAAATGATTTCTGGAGGTGTGGCTCAAGTGGTAGAACACCTACTTAGCAAGTGTCAGGCCCTGGCTTCAAACACGAGTACAAATTAAACAAAGAATCTCTAGATCCCCAAGATCCCTCCTTCATCTTTGTTACCTAGTTGTGTGTTGCTAGAGAAATTCCCTTTTATGACAAGGGTGGTTATAATAGCCAATCTTATAAAATGCCAGTGAGAGTTTTTACAAAATTCACAGAGTGAACTGGGTGTGGTGGCACACACCTAAAATCCTAACTGTTCAAGAGGTGGAGGCAGAAAAGATTGTTAGTTGAGGTCAACCCAGGGAAAGTTAGCAAGACCCTATCTCAAACACAGAATTCAAATCAACAGAGGTGTGGCTCAAGTCACAAAGCAGTTGTGAGAGGCCCTGGCTTCAATCCCTAGTCCTACCAAGGAAAATAAAATACGCACAGAATAGACAAAGTGTCTCATACTATGATTTGATCCCAGAAGCCCAGAGGTTTATTATATGTGTAACATTAACTTACAATGCTCATGACTAGAATTGGCTGTTAATCAGTAGGTGGCTGTGCCCTTCCCTTATACCTAATGCAGGGACCTTACATTTGATCTTTGTTTTCTGGCTGGTAACAGAAACTCCTCAGGCTACCTGATTCCAGTGTTTCTTCCCCCCCAAATGAGAACATGAGAGAGAGGAGCGGGGAGAGGAGGGAGAGAGAGAACGAGACCCTGACATCTTCTTGACTGAATATCTTATACTGTCTTCTAATATAATAATAATAAACTTATTATTATTATTATTATTTGGTGCCAGTTCTGGGGCTTGATCTCAGGGCATGGGCATTGCCTCTGGCTTTTGTTTAAAGCTAGTGCTCTACTACTTAAGCTGCAGCTCCACTTCTGGCTTTTTGGTTGTTACTTGGAAATAAGAGTCTCATGGAGTTTCCTGTCTGGGCTGGCTTTGTACTGAGATCCACCGGTACCTGGCTCTAATGTCAGTTTTTAAAAATACTTGAAAAAAACGACACCTGGACAATGGCTACCTGTCATCCTAACTACCCAGCAGGCTGAGGATCTCAATTCAAAGCCCACCCAATCAGGAAAGTTTAGAGACTCTTATCTACACATAACCAGCAAAAATCCAGAAGTAGAGGTGTGGCTCAAGGGGTAGAATACCAGCCTTGAGGGAAAAAGCTAAGGGACAATACCAAGGCTCAATGTTCAGGCCTCGGTACTGACATGCATAAAAGACAACTAGGTAAATTTGGGAATCCTTATATCAGAAAATCAACATTTTGGCAGTGAATTCTAAAAGTGGAAAGAATTTAATAGTAAAAGATACAAGGTGGCTACTTGAGTTTCGAGTTTTGACTCTAACAATTAGGTTATTTGAAGTTATAAACAATTACATAAAACATATTTCCATAGCTCTCTCTTGTCAGGCTTCCTAATATGTACCAGTTGTACGTGGCCCTCAGCACATGCCCTGTCCCATAGATTCATGTGGCAGTAGTTGCTCTGTGGAATTCATTGTTTCTGGCTTACATTCCCTCCTGGTGCTCAGCAGAACTTTATGACTATTCTCTCCCTCTTCTGAATGTGGGTCTTTGCCTCTTGCCCTTGGGTTTAATAAAACTGACTCCTCTGCCAGACCACTGATCAGCTAATTTACCTTGCCTGACCCCCAGGATTATGAATTCTTGCCCCCCGAATCAGGGCAGTCACCTCATTGTGAACAGCTCTGTTTTCCTCACAGAGCACCTACCTCACAGTAGATGATCAGAAAGATAATTTTTTCATACCTGTGTTTGGAAAACAAGGAAGCATAAGAGAGAGAGAGAGGAGAGAGAGAGAAAAAAAAGAGAAAGAAAGAAAGAAAAGAGAAAGAGAAAGGAAGGAAGAAAAAGAGGAAGGAAGGAAGAAGGAAAGACAGAAAGATAGAAAGACAGAAAAAGACAGAGAAAAAAAGAAAAAGAAAGGAAGGAAAGAGAAAGGAAGGAAGAAAAAGAGGAAGGAAGAAGGAAAGACAGAAAGATAAGACAGAGAAAAAGAAAGAAAAGGAAAGGAAGAAAGGAAGGAAGGAAGAAAGAAAGAAAGAAAAACAAACACATACAAAAAAGGCCTTTGTTAGCTGATCTTACTTGGTGACACTGAAACAATTCCAGTGAAATAAGCATCATTGAGGGGAAAAGGGGTAGGGTAAAGACATTAGAAATCAAATTGTTTAAATAGGGATACAGGTGGACCCATTGCAACAATGAGATGTACAAGACACTATGTCAAAAAACAAACTTACAATTTAGGCCTGGGGTGGAAGGGTGAGTACAGTTGTGGAGATGGGAGGGATGGGATAGTAGGGGGAAAACAAAGGAGAAGGCAACCATGCTTGATAAGAAATGCACTCATTACCTTGCTCATGTAACTGTAACCCCTCTGTACAGTATTTTCACAATGAAAACTTATTTTTTAAAAAAAGAAACCAATGAGAAAAGGAAAATGCTCAAGTGGCTGAGGTGAGTACTGCAGAAGAGGAGCAAAGAGAGAGACTGATTTCCCATCGTGTGTGTGCGTGAGTGTGTGTGTGTGTGTGTGTGTGTGTGTGTGTATAAGTACACTTATTCCTAGTACTGAGGTTTTAACTCAGGACTCAACCTTGCTAGGCCAGCACTCTACTACTTGAGCCACACCCCCAGCGTTTTTGCCTTAATTTCGTTCTCAAACAGGATCTCATCCTTTTGCTTGGTTTAGCCTTGGACTTCAGTTCTCCTGCCTCCACCTCCTGAGCTGCTGCCATTACACTACTTCCCGCTTCAGTTTCCCACTGATGTTCTTCCTGTGTCCTTTTCCTAACTCAGCTACTACTGGCAGCTTCTTATTATTCTATTGAGGTCTAGGAGCACAAGTTAGGATCAGTCAGTCTCCCAAAGCAGTGTTCCCTTGGACAGCTCAAAACCGTGACTGTCCTCCTCTCTACACCCTTCCTGGTAAAAACATACAACCTTTCTATTTGTGGTGGGTCTGGGAATCCCACTGGGATTCACTCACACTGAGAGCCAAGCCTTCGCATCAGCAGCAGGACTCTAAAATAGCCAACCACAGCCTGTCTTGCTCTTCACGCAGCTGACTCATAGCCCAAGTCTTTAATGGGTCCAGTGCCTCACTGTGTTCCTCTGTGCAGAGTACTTAAAAGTGGCACAGGGAAGAACATCACAGGAGGGTGGGAGGGCCAATAATATGGCAAAGATTCTGTCCTACCTGTCTGCTTTGAAGTCCCTGGCACACTTTAGCTGAAGGTCAAGCTAAGGAAAGACAGTCATGCCTAGTTCAATTGTACGTTGATTCGTCCTTCAGGACCCACTCCTCTCTGTCCTCCTCTTTCCAGTTATGTGGGTATTCATCCACTCCCTCCTCTATGGGCATCTGGAAATGTTCCCTCATTATCAGGTTAGGCAAGGTTGTCTGGGGCCAAATAGGTACCCTGATTGCATAAGCATTCAACACACTAGCAGGAAATCTTACTCGGAGGCCATTATGAGATGTCTAGTTAGGATCTCATTTAGCATGGGGGCAAATAACTGACACTATTTCGATCCAGCAAGACAGTATAAATGGCAGCAGGCACATAGCAGTTTTGAATCCTCCCAGTGTAGACTGAGCATCTATTCTGTGTCCAGACACTAATTATTAAAATATTTAATTGAATTCAAGAGAAGAATGCAGAGTCCTATTGGACAGCTGAGCAAACAGAATTGGTAGATTGCAATATCATGCCAACGTTACTCACAGACTGATCAGATGTCCTTTGGTTTCCGTTTTTGTTGTTGTGTTGTTTTTCTTTCAAATTTCACTTTGTTTAACCCTCACTATGAAGGATCAGGTATTATTTGGAGAAATACAAAGCCAGGCAGCGGGCATTAAGCTACTAGTAAAGCTAAGCTCTTTGTGGGACTGGAAGGCTATCATGATAAGCCTGGGTTACCAGAAATAAAGGTCACAGCTTTATTCCCTCCCCTCCTCCTCTCTTCCCTTCCTCTCCTCCCCTCCCCTTCCCTTCCAGAACTGGAGTTTAAGCTCAATGCTTGCTAGGCAGGCTCTCTAAGCAACCCAGAGTCATGCCCTCAGCCCTGTGACTTGTCTTCATACACTGTCATCACTAGAATAACTTTCTATATTCGATATTGAATCTTTCTGTATTTCTATATTATGTTCAAAGACGTTTAAAGTGCAATTGTATAGGGAGAAATACTTTGTGTGAAGTGGCAGAGATCGAGTTACATGGTATCAAGGAAATCAGTAACAACATTTCTTCATGGCAGAAGGCTAGAAGAGACTTTCTAATAGGGGAACAAAGAAATCAGCTAGGGAGCTAGTGCTGACTTCTGATTTAAAAAGCAGATGCTACTATTTATGCCTTCAGCCTCTTGGGCCATGTACTTTCACGCGATGAGTGGATATAGCATTTGGGTAAGGTACCGAAAAACTGTTGATCATCTCAGCATTTTTCACTCCCTAGGTTTTTACCTCCTGTGCTCCCGCCGGTGAGCTTGTTTTCAGATATGTTGACGGCATCCTTTTCCATCGCCGTGGTGGCTTATGCTATTGCCGTGTCTGTCGGGAAAGTGTACGCCACCAAGCATGACTATGCTATTGATGGGAACCAGGTATGTCCCTTCTTTCGCTGGGCTGGCTTTATAGGGCTGCACACAGGGAAAGAGTGTAAATGGGAACCCTTTCTGGTGTAGCTAAAGAAGAGTTGGTATCTTCCATTGGTCTTTATTGGGGTGGCTTTCCCCTCTCAAGCTTGCTAATTCGAAACCCTTTTAAAATATGCATGCTGCATCACTTTGCTTTCTATGAAATAAATGAGTAATCCTAATTTTAAAAGAGCTAATCAGGTCATAACCAATATTCCAAGCCAATATATTACATCAGACTAAGAGTTCTTCACCTAGCTTGGTATCTAAAAATTTCCCTACTTTCCTTTTTTCTTTTCTTCTTTTCTTTTTCTTCCTTCCCTTCCCTCCCTCCCTCCTTCCTTCCTTCTTTCCTTCCTTCCTTCCTTCCTTCCTTCCTTCCCTTCCCTTCCCTTTCCTTCCCCTCCCTTCTCCTCCCTTCTTTCCTTTTCCTTCCTTCCTTCCTTCCTTCCTTTCTCTTTCTTTCTTTCTCTTTCTCTCTCTCTCTTTCTTTCTTTCGTGTGTGTGTGTGTGTGTGTGTGTGTGTGTGGTGTGTGTGTGTGTGTGTGTGTGTGTGGTGTGTGTGTGTGTGTGCGTGTGTGCCAGTACTGGGGCTTCAATTCAGGACCTAAGAACTGTCCTTTAGCTTTTTCACTCAAAACTGGAGTTCTGCCACTTAAGCCATAGCTCCATTTCTACACTTCCGGCTTTTTTGATTTTTGTCTTTGAGTTGTTTCTATTTTTGTTTTTCTGGTTAGAGAGAAAGTCTCATGGGCTTAACTTCCCAGGCTAGTTTTTAACTATGGTCATCAGATCTCAGCATCTCAAGGAGCAACAATAATAGTCACAAGCCACCAACACCTTGCTTGATAATTGGTTTTCTAAAGACAGCCGTACTATGATTTTTAAAAAGACAATAAAAACCATACATCAAAGCTATGATCACTTTACATTGATGCAGTTCACTGTGCAGTTAATATATACAGGACAATCTTGATTGGCGTAGGTACATTGCCAGGTGAGCTGGCTTTACCCTGCTTACAGACCTACGCACAGCAGGGCAATTACAGCAGAATAATAGCTCTGACAGTTATAACACGCTTTATTGCTACTCTCTAACCACAGAAAAATACCATGACAGATATAACAGTGAACAAAAACCTTTTGAATATAGGATCTTGTTGTTTCTTGTCATCCTTAAAATTAACTGACAGTACTTGAGCCTCTCTTATGGTCTATGGAGTTCAAAACTTCTCTTGGCATAAAAGATCTCTAAATGTGTGGTATGGTATGTGTGTGAGAGAGAGAGGGAGGGAGAGAGAGAGGAAGGGAGGGAGGCAGAGACAGAGAGAGAGAAGAGAGAGAGAGAGAGACTGGGGCTTGAATTCAGGGCCTGGGTTCTGTACCTTAGAATTTTTAATCAAGGTTGGTGCTCTGCCACTTGAGCCACACAGCTCCATTTCTGGATCTTTGCTGGTTAATTGGAACTTAAAGTCTCAAGGGCTTTCCTGCTTGGGCTGGCTTCCACCACAATCTTCAGATCTCAGTCTCCTGAGGAGCTAGGGTTACAGACTCTGTGAGCCACTGGCGCTCAGTTTCTAAATACTTGTAAGACTTTTTATAGGGTGTGTTTGGAAGATTCTTTTAACATGCTTCCTTAGACACTCCTCAGAGGTCTAGAGAACATTCTGCTTACTACCTGGTCATTTGGTCTCTCCCACAGGAATTCATTGCCTTTGGGATCAGCAACATCTTCTCAGGATTCTTCTCTTGTTTTGTGGCCACCACTGCACTGTCCCGCACAGCTGTCCAGGAGAGCACTGGGGGAAAGACACAGGTAGGGAACCACAGCCTGGTGATGCTAATCACAGAGAACAGAGCCTGGAGCAGCAGCTCAACAGACTGCTACCGCTGAACAGGACAATTGGCCTTTGAGAGGAAAGGGACGGTGTCTCCTCTTGTGAGCCAGCGTGGGGCCTACTCATCTCTTTACCTCATCCCTCATCAAAAGCCTCTTAAAAAGCAACATTTGTGCTTCCCCAAGACAGTAATTCCCAAGTTGCTCAGCGCCAGAGCTCACCTGAGGAGAATCCCGCTTACTTACTGTGCAGCCAAGCCAACAACACAGTGTCAGCAATGGGAGGGGCCCATTTCTTACCTGAGGGGAGAGTAAAAAATAAAAAGCACTCTTCACATTTCCTTTGCTAGGGTCAGGAACTTCCTCAGAGGCCTTTGGTCTCACAGAATGACCATTTGGTAGCCAAGAGTATTTTTTCTTATGTTTTGGCGTGTATGTGCATTTGCATGTGCACGTTCACACACACACACACACACACACACACACACACACACACACACACACACACACACACACCTCTACCTGTCCTGGGGCTTGAGCTGAGGGTTTGGGTGCTGTCCCTGAGGTTTTCTGAGCCACAGCTCTACTTCTGGCTTTTTGGGGGTTAATGGGAGATAAGAGTCTCACAGAATTTCCTGCCAAAGTTGGCTTCCAACTGTGATCTTCCAGAGCCTTCTGAGTTGCTAAAATTATAATCATGAGCCACCGGTACCAGCTAGTGTTTTATTGTTTGTCTTTAGTTTTTGATGATTTGCACCTGCCAGCAGGCACGCGACCATTTGAGCTATGCCCTTAGGTCTTTTGCTTTAGTTATTTTTGAAATAAAGTTTCACATTTGTGTCTGGGGACTGACTTACACCACAATCCTCTAATTCATGTTTCTCAAGCCTTGAAACTGTGATTCCCCCTGATCTTTACTTCCTATCTCTGCCTCCTTAGTAGCTGGGATTACAAGAGTGAGCCATTATGCCCAACTTTTAAAGGGTTTTATTTATTACACATTATTATTACTGGCTGGAAAAACAAATGACTCCAGCAATGACTACCCAGGAAGAGCTACAGCTATGACCACAGTATGGATGAGGTCCCCCTCCTATTTACAAGAACTTCTTCCAATCTTGTGGATCCTTTGAAACAAAGATTTAATTTTAAAATTCTCTGAATTGTTCTTAAAATTTTCTCTGGTTGTGGGTCTTGAATTCTGGGCCTGGGCACTGTCCCTGTGCTCTTCAGCTCAAGTCTAGCGCTCTACCACTTGAGCCACAGCACCACTTGGTTTTCTGGTGGTTAATTGGAGATTAACTATCATGGACTTTCTTTGCCAGGCCCAGCTTTGAACCATGATCCTCAGATCTTAGACTCCTGAGTAGCTAGGATTACAGGTGCAAGCCACCAGAGCCCAGCTTTGTTCTTAACTTAAAAAAAAAAATTGGAAACCTATCAGGTTTTAAGGAAGCAGGTAAAAGAATTCAACCTTGTGCCAGACACTGGTGGCTCACTTCTGTAATCCTAGCTGCTCAGGAGGCTGAGATTTGAGGATTGCAGTTCTAAGCCAGTCCTGGCAAAGAAAGTCCCTGAGACTCTTATCTCCAATTACCCGCCAGAAAACCGGAGGTGGCGCTGTGGTATAAAGTGATAAGAGTACTAGCCTTGAGCAAAAAGAGCTCAAGGACAGCATCCAGAGCCCTGAGTTCAAGCCCCACAAATGGGGGAGGGGAGGAAGGGAAACAGCCTTAGCACCAGGAACCATAACAAAAAGTCTGATGGCAAGGGAAACAGTCAGGGTCATTTCAGAGTTGCCCATTTTATGGCACAGCTGTCAGCAGCAAGAGGACTTGCTGTTTGCTTTGGAGACAAAGCATTCAAAAACTCTTCAGGGCACACAGTCCTGAGTGGGTGCAGGCAAATCTCTTCCCCTGATGGTACTGGTAGACTCAAATGGAGGCCTGGGCTGGCAGCCCCAGGAAGAAATGCTCATGTAAAGTGACCTTCTTGGCAGAGGGCTTGGGGATAATGGTGTTCTGGTAAGCTAATAGCTTCTGCCACACACTGGCATGTATTATATTTAGGAATGAAGGATGCCAGGATTTCAGCACTGAAGAAGGAAACAAGTACAGAAATGGCTTGATACTTAATTACTGAAATGTATACTAAGTTCTAGGGTTGAGAGTCCAAGTTCCTGGACTGGAATCCAAGGACCTGTGACCAAATAAACTGGCAGGTGTCCTCTTAGGCTGGTTTTTTCATAAGCTGAATTTTGGGTTTCATTGTCTATGAAATGATAATAATAACTGTACCCATTTTACAGTGTCATTGTGTGAATTAAATTTAAAAAGGATTCCATATCTTGGAGATCAGTTTGATGGGCATCATTTTATATGGTCATATGTACATAGCATCGAGCTATTGTGATCCTCTGCTAGAACTAGACTAGACCTATACTAATTATTACAAATAAGGGAAACCATAGAGCCTATGTTTCTTTGGGTCTGGCTTTCTTAACATGATTTTTCCCAAGTCTTTCCATTTCCTTACAAATGGGGCAATGCCATTCTTTCTGTTGGAAATGAACTTTATAGCTTGGGATGGAAGAGAGTTGGGGGAGGGGAGGGAAAGTGGGAAAAACAAGGGAGGAGGTAACAATGTTTGACAAGAAATATACTCATTACCTTACTTATGTAACTGTAACCCCTCTGACATCACCCTTACAATAAAATTAAACCTAAAAAATATAGAATAGGAAACAGAAAAGGATGGTCATATTGATAAACTTGATTATGCCATTTCTCAAGGTAATAATTTGCATCTTGGTATTGCTGATACATTATTGTGCCAGGCACATAAGAAACACTTGGCATATATTTGCTGAGGGGCTGCGTAGAAGAATGAAGGTTGGTAAAGAGCGACTGCTCTTGGCCTATTGATAGATTGTAGAAGAGCTAAATGCTGTCCCTGCTCTTTCTCTGACCCTCCCCTGACGTCAACTGACTCATGAAAAAGTCATTCTGATTGCAAACTACTCTGCAGTTCTGGCAACCCCTTCACCCGATGACAATGATTTGCTCAGAATTGGGTCTGCTCATAGATATCAAATCTAAAAGAATTTCTCAGAAACCAGTCTTGCAGAGTAAATACAAGCAATTGATCCTTCACTGATTTTAGCCTAGAATTGGAGACTTATATTAGACATACTTGATGAATAGGTGGCTATCTTAATCTCTTCCATTAATTCAGTAATCCATTTTCTATCCATGGTAAGATGTAAGTGGCTCAGTAAATATTGGTTAAGTATTAGGAAGTAAAGGAGGAAGGAAAAGCAGGGGGCAGAAGGAGAGAAGGAAGCAGGTGATTATCTTCTCTGCTTTAACAGGAGAGGCAAAGCTGGCTGAAGTGCTAGGTGCCTGGAGGTGTGGTTCAGGAAGAACACAGAAAAAAGGAGCTAGACAGACATACATCCTGGGCTTTATAGTGCCTCAGAATCACAGTTCCCATACAATGCTGCTCCAGGCTGAGCCACATATAATCTGAGCATAAACCATCAATTTGCCAGATAGAATGTTTCCTAATTAAGTTTCTGAATTTCCTTTTCACATTTGCTGTGTCTGCCTCCTTTTAACTCTGACATCTTGCACTAGGCAGTACTTGTGTTCAACATGTTTTCTCCTATTGCTTCCTCTCTGACTCCTTTGCTTCTGGTCCCCTGTCTTCTTCTTTCCTGTGTTCCAGAGCTTCTAGTCTTCACTTCTGCCAGGCCCCAGCTCTCTCAGCAGAGAAAGTCATCTGATCAAACCAGACAATAGTCCCTGCCCCCTCAGCTTCTCCCTTACTATCTATGGATCTTAGCAGAGCTTTTGCCAGCAAAGGTAACGTTTCTGAGCTTCTTTTACTCTGCTACTGCCCTGTCGCTGCAGCTGCCTTGGGGGAAAAGTTGAGAGCCTGTGTCTCTGTTGAAGGAAGAAGGAAACACAATCTCCCACTTCTGAGTGTGCCAGTGGGGTACTGGAATCTGCAGTAGGATGGGTACATTGATTTTCCCTTTCCATGTCATTAGGGCCATCAGGGTCAGCAGGCTGCTGCTTTAACAATGCAGAAGAAGCAGACATGCGCCATGAGAATGTATTTCTCAAGAGCATGACAGTAATCTCTTTGTGGGAAAGAGAGTGTCTATATGCCCTGCATGTCAAATGACAAGGAGGTTGTCTTCCTAAATCGACACCAAAACTATCAGTGTAATAGTTTGTCAAATTATTGTAGAAACTATAGGTATAATCACTGGTATAGATGTAACTGTATATGTATAACTATCTATACTTTAGCAGACTCAGTTCCACATCTTCTTTAATTTCCCTGCATAGTGCATGTGTGTATGTGTATGTGTGAATATAGACACAGATGGCTTTTTTTGTTCGGTTCTGTGTGATCTTGACAAATGATGCTCATTTCTCTCCATTTTGAGCAGCAGGGGAGTGCCAGGGGAGCCTCAGGTGTGCCGGGAGAAGCCCTTTGTGCACACCTTGTGCTGAGCCAGAAGGCACAGGGCGGAGGATGAACCTTCCTCATGAGAGCGTGTGTCTTTCAGATTGCTGGAATCATCTCAGCTGGGATTGTGATGATTGCCATTGTGGCCCTTGGGAAGCTTCTAGAACCCCTGCAGAAGGTATAACCCTCCTTTCTGTATGCAGAACTTGTCATTTTTTCCTTCACTTTGCTACCAAAGAAATAACAGGAGACTTAGAAATCATCACATGGAAGCCATTTCCCTGAATAACACAACGTTGTCTGTCTTTCCCGGCAGTCCGTCTTGGCAGCTGTTGTGATTGCCAACCTGAAAGGGATGTTTATGCAGGTGTGCGATGTCCCCCGCCTGTGGAGGCAGAATAAAGTTGATTCTGTAAGTCGTCCTCCACCCATTTTCCTTTTCTTTTCTTTTTGTCGGTTGTGGGGTTTGAACTCAGAACCTGGGTACTGTCCCTGAACTTTTTCACTTAAAGCTAGCACTCTACCACGTTGAGCAACATTGACACTTTGGTTTTCTGGTCGTTAACTGGAAAAAAGAGTCTTCTGGATTTTCCTGCCCGTGCTGGCTTTAAACCCTGATCCTCAGATCTCAGGCACCTGAGTAGCTAGGATTACAGATTTGAGCCACCAGCAGCTGGCCCATTTTTCTTAAATAAGGTTTGGTTCTTATAATGCTTCTTGTCCTAGCCCTACATCTTCCTGTCTCCTTAGTGTTATTTGAATGTTGGGAACCCCAGAGCAGAAATGAGAATGGTAGGGGTGAGTCAAAGCCTTGGTGTTTTCTATGTGAAGATTCTGTGTCTGAGAAAACTGGAAAAATCCATTTCCAGCGAGAATTATTTTCCTGGGGGTACGGGGGAGGGGGATTTCTTCTTTAATTCTTACTTTAAAAGGACAAATAAAACTCAAGGCAATGTTGTTGCCAAGAGGCTAGGTACTGAAATAAAATTTAAAAAACTCAAAACAATACACACAATACCAAAATGGATACTGATTTTGTAAGTAATGTAGCCTTCACAACTGTTCTGTGGGATTGTAACAACCAGAAGCTAAATTTTGTAGAGTTCTACTCTAATTTAGATGCACAAAAAAAACTTTAAAAACTTTCTACATGTTGATATGCAAAAATTTCCAAGACAAATTATTAAGTGCAAAAGAGACAAGAATAGAAATGTTGGAGCATATGCACTTACACAAAGACACCAGAAATAAAAAAGGGAACAAGTAGGGAAGGAGGCTGAGAAGGAGTAGAGAGAAGAAAGAATTATAAGCAAGATTTTTTTCACTGTTCATTTTTTTTTTTTTTTTAGTCCAGTCATGGGGCCTGAACTCTGGGCCTGGGCGCTGTCCCTCAGCTCTTCAGCTCAAAGTTAGTGCTCTACCACTTGAGCCACAGCGCCACTTCCGGCTTTTTTTCATTTTGCTTATGTGGTGCTGAGGAATCAAACCCAGGGCCTCATGCATGCAAGGCAAGCGTTCTACCACTGAGCCACCTTCCCAGCCTCTCACTGTTCATTTTTTAAGTATTAATTCCCTTAAATACAATGGCTCAGTTGGTCTTCATTGGGAAGGCCAATTCTAACTTTAACCTAAAGGTAAAATGAAATCAGAGTATTTTAAAAAAGCTATAATTTGTGGATCATCAATCTTATGTTTATAGCTAGTCATCACTTGATGGTGTCTGACATAATTCTTTTGTTTCCATTTCTCCCCTAGGTTATCTGGGTATTTACATGTGTAATGTCCATCATTCTGGGGCTGGACCTGGGTTTGCTAGCTGGCCTTATATTTGGACTATTGACTGTGGTCCTGAGAGTTCAATTGTGAGTACTATAAATCGCAGATGTCCTATGATAGGACAACATACCCCCACCTTTTCTATGCTGTTTTGATATAGTGAACCTACATCCTGTCATGATAGTCACTAATATATTGCGTGGTTTTATGAGTTAAACACATGATGCTTTACAAACATTATCAAATTTAATCATTACAAATTCCTAAAAATAGGTTTGAGTCATCTATTCTACAGGTAAGAAAATTTAAAATCAGAAAGGCCTAGTAGGACTTTTCCTAAGCTCACACAGTTACTAATTGAGAGAGCTGAGATTTGAACCCAGATAGAGCTCTCTCCAAAATCCATGCACTTAGCTGCATGTTCCACTGCTGTGTTCTCCTTAGTCGTGTTAAGGATAAATGATATGTGGTTTGGGCAAAGACTGAGTTTGCTTTGTGGTTTATTCGTTACATAACGATGAAGTATATGAGGCCCTGGGTCTAAGGTTTAGGACAACTGCTAAAGATATTGGAGCTTGTTTACCTCATTTGGAGCTAGTAACCTATTAATTTTGCAACCCAGAACAGAACTCTCAAAGAGCTGATTATAACCAAAATTCATTCAAATCTTCCCAATAGGGCATAATTCAATAACTCACCCAATTTTGTGAGGTAAATATCATTAGTTTCTGTGCAGAGTAGGAGCAGAAAAGATGTGGGCTAAATAAAGGGAGCCTAGAGGCAAATTTCTGGAAGAGTTAGGTTTGTTTGACTCTGACAGGCTTTGGTCATATGCCCCCCTGAGGCTCTCTCCCTCCTCAGTTCTTCTCTTGTCTTTGTAGACCCTCCTCTATACCTGTTCATGAGGCATAAAGGAAGGAGAAGCCTGGAAAACCATCAATAGAGATGTCTTCAGCTTAGCATAGACTTACTTCTCCCATTTTACCAGCTAGCTCTCTTTGCATTCTCTCCCTACTCTAGCATGGTGGTGGCTACTTAAAAGAGTTGTGGCTTTCTGCCTCAGCACATCAGGTGCCAGGGTTCGGAAAGTGCTCATGAGCTTCCAAAGTGCCCGGTTTTCTGTTAGAGAAATAACTCAAAAACTGATTTAGGAGAAGTGCCGATATGCCTTTGTCTCTATGCTTATTTACGTGAACCTGGTTGAGAAGGAAGGATAATTACTGTCTAGTAATAGCCAAAGATGTGGGTTGGATTGGTTGTTGCAATTTGACAAATAGTTGAAGGAAAGGACACAAGCAGATAGTATAAGAAATGGAGCGCTTTCTTATAGGAGTCGAACAGGTTGAAAGGGAAAGTCACAGACCCCCTCAGACCCCTTCACAGATACTTATGAGGCAGGAAAAGTGGGAGTTGAGGCAAAGTTTATTTGAAAGTAAGATAAGATGCCAGAAGAAGCTGCAGAAAAGCCTCTTAGCTATTGGCAGGTTGGTATAAACCCATAACCCAATTTCCTGCCTGAGAGAACTGCCTTATGCCATCTATGGGAATGTATTCATCTCTTTCTTGGGAGAGAAAGATGAGCTTATGGACTTTAAATGAAAAATCAGCACAATGCAGCAAGCCAAGGAAAACTTGGTGGCACATTTTAGCTCTTGATTTGGTAACCAGGCTTTTAGCCAACAAAAATCAATATCTTCCACAGTATTTAATTTCCACTAATTATAATGCTGATGCAGAGAGCACAATACTCAAAGGACCCCAAACAGATAGTCTTTCTTTAGGAGCTACATTTAGCATATGTCCCTAGTCACACTTGAAGAAACATGGAATTTATCTGATTGCATCAGGAACAGGAAATCAACAGTCTGGTTGACAGGAAGGGCTTATTCCTGGTCCTCCCAGGCTGCTATTTCTATAAAAAGAGGCTAATTTGATCACTCTCAGACTCTCCGTACTTCATCAGGAAGTTGCCATAAGTCACAAATAAATGCCAGGCACCAAAGACTTGTAGGTTAAAGACAGGCTGTAATGTCCTGTACCACACTCAGCTTTCTTACTGGTCTAAACCTCAGTTTACTCACTAATAAAAACAGGGTTATGGTAGGGCTTTGATAAGATTTAACATGTGAGAAAGCTCTTTGCTTATCCTACAAATTGCTATGCACGTGAAAGTATGATGCTCATTATTTCTCTCAGCCATCAAAAGAGAGTCACAGTTAGTTCCTCCTGCTCCTCCAGTTCTGCACAAACATCAGCTGTTCATTTTGGAGTTAGATACAGGAAAATGTCATCTGCAATAAGACAGAGTCCAAATACCAGAATGATGGGCTCTTTAGTAGCTGCTATTCTTTTTTTTTTTTTTTAACATTTTAGTCCTAAAAGTGGTTGTTCCCTCAAAGAATCCTGATATTAAATTTTTCTTCTTTCAGTCCTTCATGGAATAGTCTTGGAAGCATCCCTAGCACAGACATCTACAAAAGTACCAAGATTTACAAAAATGTAAGTGCTTTTGTCAGACATCTGCTGGACGAGATGAGGGCTTGCTAGCCTGGAATTGGAGGGTCATGGATTTTTCTCTTAGCCTCTTAAGGAGAAAATAGTCAAGACTTTTGTTGGGAGAGTCCATGAGTCATGGGAGTGTCATGAGAACTTTTGATGCAAAAAGGACAATTATAAATGGATTGTCTGACTTTTATCCATGCGAGTTGAATGCATTTTTATATAAAGTCATTAGAAGGGGGATTTAAAAACGATTGGCAATACGATTATTTCCAGATATTCAATCAAAATCTTATTTCTCTGCTTGGGAATCCTTAACTTCTTTTTTTTTTTTTTTGGTCGGTCGTGGGGCTTGAACTCTGGGCCTGGGAGCTGTCCCTCAGCTCTTCAGCTCAAGGCGAGCGCTCTACCACTTGAGCTACAGCACCACTTCCAGTTTTCTGGTGGTTTATTGGAGATAGGAGTCTCATGGTCTCTCCTGCCCGGGCTGGCTTTGAACCGCAATCCTCAGATCTCAGCCTCCTGAGTAGCTAGGATTACAGGCGTGAGCCACCAGCGCCCGGCTGGGAATCCTTAACTTCTATGAAATTGCTGGAATAACTGAAAGATTTTCTTCACTCAGTTCTAACAAGAGATTTTCTGTCACCAAAGCCTTATGTCATATTTACCTTATTTTTTGAATTGAGAGAAATAATATATAATGCAGAAAATTGGAAAAAAAGAAACAAAGAAATTTACTATCCCACTGATGGGCTTATATTCATTGGTCACAAGTAAAATTGATTAGTGACTCTGAGGGGAAAAAAGATGAAAGCAAAGGAGGTAAATTAAGAAAATTCAAATTTAACCAAAAAATACACTTTTTTTTAAATGGGCATAAGTACCAAATATAATAAAATAAAAATAAATATAAATAAGTATATTTCTAGGTGAACCTTAGGGAACTGTATTTGATTTTAATTTTTAAAAATACTGGAAAAAAATACTGGACTCTGAGCTTGGAATTTCAGGAGTTGCTCCTCGAATTTAATTCCCACAGTCTTTCTGTTATGTTGATCTAAGTACTATCAGGAGTTCAGAATGGCTAGGTGTGGTGGCTCAAGCCTACAATCCTAGCTACAGAGGTAGCAGAGATGGGGAAGTGTGGTTCCAAGGCTGTAGGGCATAGAAGTTTGCAAGACTCCATCTCAACCAATAGCTAACTATGGCAGCATGTGCCTGTTATTCCAGCTACAGGGAAAGCACAAAGGCTTGGTACAGGGGGTGCACACCTATCATCCCTAGGGGTACAGGGGACCACAAATAGGACTGAAACCCAGAACAGCCCAAGCATAAAGTGAGGCCTTATCTTGATAATAAGCAGGTGTCATAGAATTTTAGATCCTAAAATCCTTTTTGGTCCCCTTGAATTGTTTCTCCTCTACTCTTCAGCAAAATCAACAGAGTCCATGGTGTGAACTGGGGACAAATTATAAATCATGGCACCATTATTGATCCTCACTTTTTTGTAAATCAGAAAGTTGAATAATTGCTTTCTAAGGCTCCCTAGCAAGACCTTCTTTGGAACTGTGGAAATCTGAGGGTTGGCGGCCCCCTGCCCTCGGGCCTGGGATGAAGTCCCTATTCTAAAAGGGGGGAAGGGAGGAATGTAGGTGGAGGTGGGAGGGAAGGGATGGTAGGGGAAAAACAAAGGAGGAGGCAACAATGCTTGATAAGAAATGTACTCATTACCTTGCTCATGTGATTGTAACCCCTCTGTACGGTATTTTTACAATAAAAAACTTATTTAAAAAACACACAAAACAAAACAAATTTAATGGGGAATAAAAAAAAGAAAGCTGTGCTGCCCAGATGCTCTGCAGCTGTGACCTGACTCCTTGCAGAACAGCGAGAAATTTAATCGAATATTTGAGACCTGAAATTGTCAAACTTTTTTTTTCTTCATGTCAGATTGTAGAACCAGAAGGAGTAAAGATTCTTAGGTTTTCCAGCCCTATTTTTTATGGCAATGTGGACGGCTTCAAAAAATGTGTCAAATCTACAGTAAGTATTTTATCCCAAGAAATTTAGTTTCCATCTTTTGAAGTTTCATTCATCTACTTGTTGGACTTCAAGTGGGAATAAGATCTATCCTCATCTTCCTGCTAACATCTGCTAACATCTCTGCCTTCAGATAATTAGGGATTGAAAAAGAGAGATCGTAGACTGGGAATTTAACCCACATGGGAAGATCCAAGTAGCAATAACTGCCAGTTAAAAATGCTAGAGATGAATTTCAGTTCCAAAAATGTTGGATGGACCGAATGTGCTGAGCATTTCTATGGTGGCTGGGCCCAGAAAGTGAGCAGAAGGGAGAGGGCTGGAGCTAGGGCCAAGTGAACTTACCTGCCAAGGGTGGACAGGAGGCAGCTTTGGGTTGGCTGGTCTTCCAGAAGCATGCAGTGGGAAGCATGTAGTGACCACAGGTCACCAGCAGGGGCAGATAGGAGAACCTGGGGCCTTGGTTAGCCAGACATTAGAACTACAATTAATTGCACAGCAAGGTAAGGGGCTGTTCTGCAAGTACTTTTATTTGCAAAAGTAAAACAAGTTTTGTTCATGAAATTTTGCTAACATAAATTGAGCTTAGTTTATTTTAAATCAGTTTTTTGTTTTCATTTTAGATTAGCGCATATTAGTTGTGCGAAGGGGTTTCCTTGAATTCACAGGAGAGAGAGAGAAATCCACATTAGCGGACAAACAGGATGTAAGGAAAGGGAACAGGTCAGGTGCTTGTGAGCTAGCTGAAGGGATAGAAGTGGGGACACAGTTCTCTTCTGAGGGAAGGGGTGTCTGCTCTGTGGAGATATAGACATGGAATGTGGTCAGGGCTCGGCTATCCCGGAGAGTTGGAGTTTGCCTCTGAATCCATGTTTTCTTGTTAGTCCCAGGACAAATGTTTATAGATTTTACAATAGCTTTTGAGAAGCTAGGGAAATTTGGAAAACACAGATTAAAGTAGAAGGGGTTCTATTTTTCTATGTTGGAGCCTTTAATTTGTTACAGTCTTCCTTGATCTATTTTCATAGCTCACAATTTCTCTCATGGAAGTCTGTCTCAAGAAACAGAATCTTTGGGAAATAACTATTCAGTGAACAATGGCCATTAGTGAACATTAGGAATCAGACATTTAAAGTAACTTGACATTTATTTTTAAAGGTTGGATTTGATGCCATTAGAGTGTATAATAAGAGGCTGAAAGCTTTAAGGAGAATACAGAAACTCATCAAAAAGGGACAATTAAGGGCCACAAAGGTGAGTTGATATCTTTTCTTCTTTATTTTCCTTTCTCAAATGAAAGCAGTTTGATGGTCTAAAATTAAACCTATCCCCTTTACTATCCAGATGTGTACAGGAAGATGACATATGTTCATCAGAGAGCAGCTGAGCTATTCTTGTAGGCAAGAGGGAATGGATGGAATCAGCAGAGCTATCTTGAAACAGGGGGTGATTTTTTTTCTGTATGAATAGCATCTGCATTATTTTTAAAAATCTTATTTTTACTGAAGGGAACACAATAAGTACAAATTCAGTGCCAGGAAACTAAAACAGAAGGCAGTAAGTTCATAAACTTTTAGAGGTATTAACTTTTGTTCAGATTCTCCTGCCAGTATATCTCATGGCAAAGTTCTACAACCATCTAGAAACTGAATTTCTTGGCTCCCTGTTCTTCCATTTTTCTTCCTAGAGAACATCAAAGTTTGGACTGAGGTAAAACTCGCTCTTTAAAAGTTCATCCCCGTGACATATTTGCTTAGCAAAAAAAAATAGCACAGCTAGGACTTTTAAACAGTTTGAACAGAATGATTGAATGACACTTTGAATCATTGGCACTGAGAGCTGGCAGTGTCTTCTTTGTTTAGAATGGCATCATAAGTGATGTTGGGTCAACAAACAATGCTTTTGAGCCTGACGAAGATATTGAAGATCCAGAAGAACTTGAAATCCCTACCAAGGAAATTGAGATCCAAGTGGACTGGAACTCTGAGCTCCCAGTGAAAGTGAATGTCCCCAAAGTACCCATCCATAGCCTTGTGCTTGACTGTGGAGGTATATCTTTCCTGGATGTGGTTGGAGTGAAGTCACTGAGAATGGTAAGGTCCTGAGTTTTTTTTTTGTTTGTTTGGACCACAGAATTGGAGTTTTGGCAGCAGTAAAATGATATGAGGCACTCGTTTGCAAAATGGCCAGTGCACGGGTATTGGTGAATGCTATGCAGTAGAGTGTACTACATAGTAAGCTTTGGAGTAAGACTGTGATATAAACTGGCTCCACTTTCTGGCAATGAGATCACACTGTGTAATCTTGCCTCAGTTTCTTCATTTGTAATAGAGGGGTGATCTACTCCACAGAGGACTCCAAAGATTAATGAACTGGTAAGTTTAAGTTTACAAGAGTATCTGACACATAGACATCCCTTAGCAACTATTAACACTATGTTTTATTTTTTTCTGAGAATGTAAATGGAATGTGTAAAGAAGGGAAATGGATAAAAGCATGTGTGTATTGTGTATTGTATCCTATCTGGTATATGAAACAATAGAAGACACCACCAGGAACTTGGTTGTCCTGGAAAAGCTTAGTGTTATGAAGAGGTTAGATAGAGCAGGAAGCAGGTTGGGCATCTAGAAATCAGGGTAAGAGTTGAGGACATGCAGGATGGAAACATTGATGACATCAGAAGGCAGGTCAGCAGGCAACAAGTTCGTCTATCCAGTGCCTTTGCCAGGCACAAGATACCCGTAAAGGACTAGCCATAGTTCTTACCTCCTGGAACCAAGCAGCCTAAAAAGAAAGGCAAACATTAAATAATCTTACAAATAACAACTTTAGTAGGTGCTTCCAAGTAGACCTAAAATAGGGTGTTGCTGCAAATGTCAAATTTAGGTAAAGCTTCAGGTACATAGTCAGAGCCTGGCAGAAAGGTAAGTCAGCTAAGGCATGGACAATCAGATGTAATAATTTGAAATGGACTCCTAACTATGATTTAGTGTGCTGGGGGCTCTTTGGTTATTTCTGCAAGGGTAGAAAATGACACTGAGGTGTGGGTGGCAAGTAGGTTAGGGTAGGGGAAGTACTTGCACTGGGAATAGTGTGAGAGCATGCTGAAAGCTTCCATTCTCTTAGAAGATCTTGGTATTCACTCACTCGAGAACACAGTCTTCTTTGTTCATTTCACTCCAGGCTTTGCTCAAATCTGCTGTGTATTGTTTATTGGTCAGTGTTTAATGAATTACTTCTGGGAGAGAATTTCAACATATTTAATGCCAGAGTATTTCCCACACTTACACTGATGCTTGCAACTATTACAATGACTAGTACTGTCCATAGGTCTAGCGTCTTGACTTTTTAAAATTAAACTTTCAATGATCATTGTAGATGCACACAGAGTTGTGAGGAATATTAGGGAAATCCTATGCACCCTTTTCTCAGTGTCTCCCAATAATTGCATCTTGTAAAACTATAGCACACAAGTATAATCAGAATACTGCTGTCAACATATTAATAATAAAAATCTTCCTTGATGTTTAAGACAGTTATTACATTTTAAATATCCATTCAGACATAAAGTTATGCTTTTTATTCCAGTAACTGGGGACTGTTTAAAAGCTCTGTACTCTTTTTTTTCCTTCCACAAAGATTTAGCTTAGCTATTGAACATTAGATCTCTCTCTTTCTTTCTCTCTCTTTTGTTTTCTCATACTCTCTCTCCACCCCCTTCTCCTCTCTCTGCTGGGGTTTAAATATGTAGCTCCAGTTGACCTCAAACTCTCAGTCTTTTTCTCTCTGAGTGCTGGCAATACAAGCATGAGGTGCCATGCTTGGCTGCCTTCTCTTGAGATAATCTTTTCATCTTTACATACACCATCAATATGGGTTGCCAACCTTTGGTTTTTCCCAATAACACACTTTCCTCAAAGTTGTGGTTCACCATGGAAGTGTTGATATTCCTTCTGAGCAAGCAATGGAATACAACTGAATTTTGGGCAGATAAAGATATTCCTTGTTACTAATTCTCCTTTGTTAATTTTTAGATTGTCAAAGAATTTCAAAGAATTGATGTGAACGTGTATTTTGCATTGCTTCAAGGTAAATGCATGTGTGTACCTGTCTATCTATAAGACTTTCCTCTGACCCTCTGCTCTGAGTTGGAATGTTGGGTACATAATATCTGAAGGCCTTAAAAATTATTATGTATTATAGTAAACAATGAATAGCCAGGTCATGGTGACTTACACATATAATCTTAACTACTCAGGATGCTGAGATCTGAGGATCTCACTTTGAAGTCAGACCAGGCAGTAAAGCCTATGAAACTCTTATTTCCAATTAACCACCAAAAAAAAAAAAGCGCCAGAAGTAGAGCTGTGGCTCTACAGCACTAGCCTTCAGCACAAAAGCTCAAGGACAGCGTCTAGGCTCAGACCAGGGACCAGTACACACAAAAAAAGAATACATAAGAAAAGTTGCCAGTTTAGCCACTTTTAAGTGTATCTAATACAGTAGCATGAATCACAATCACAATCTAGTATAATTATCACTCACTATTTTCAATTTTTTTTATCACCACAAAGGACTCTCTACCAAGTAGACAATGATTCCTGAGGAATTGTTTTTTGTAATATTGGGGTATGTTCTTGCTAGGCAAGTCCTCTACCACTTGAGCTACACCCCTAACTCTTTCTTAGTTATTTTTCACCTAGGAGTTCATGTTTTTTGCCTGACCAACTTCACACCTCAGTCCTCCAACTTAGGTCTTTCATGTAGCTGGGAGTACAATCATGAGCCATCATGCCCAGTTTGTTTATTGAGATGGAGCCTCATTAACTTTTTTTTTTTTTGCATAGGCTGGGGTTAAACCACAATCTTCCCAATTACTGTTTCCCAAGCAGCTGGGATTACAGACATCAGCCATTGTGCCTTGCACTGAGAGAATTTTTGAAATCAAAATGAATTTACCTTTCAATTTGTGTCACTGAGCTGGTAATGTCTCTCTAGTGGTGCAGGATCATTGGGGAAGAGGGAATCATGGTAGAGAGAATAAAGCTGGTGATGAATTCGATGCTTGGAATAGAAAAAATTCTCTATGTGTAGAGGAAAGTGCTGGTGCTCAGGCTAAATTCCTTAGAAGCAGAGCACAAGTGACTGAAGGAGAAGAGCAAAATATAACAGAAGAACTTGATTGAATGCAAGGTTTCAGAGGTCTAGCCTTCCATTCCTGATTGCACACAGAACTCTACAGCAGGAAGAACACCACAAGGTTATGTCATGTCAAGCCAGGAATCCCACCTTGGTTCCCATTATGGTCTGTCATGGCCACAGGAGAGACATCAGGAATGGGGGCGTGGGGAGCTTCACAGCCTCTTCAGGCCATGTAACTTCCACAGGCCAAAGAAAATTCTTCAGAGAAGAGCACAACTATGACCTCCCAGGGGCTGGGGAACCGGTACACTGGCTTGGCCTCAGGCCCATGGTAGGGTAGCAAGGCCATCTACAAGTCATCATGGGAAAACCATTCCATATGCTACTGGAAAAGAAACCCAGGCAGTTTAGAGTAGGGTCACCTTTTAGAAATGAGAAAAAGAATCAAAAGAAGGAACTACAAAAACTTCATATTGCTTGATGTTAGAGAAATACCTTTCCCTTCTCTCTTTCTTTTGCAGATCATGTGATGGAAAAGATGGAGCAATGTGGTTTCTTTGATGATAACATTAGAAAGGATTCATTCTTTTTGACGGTTCATGATGCTATACTCTATCTACAGAACCAGGTGAAATCCCAGGAGGGTCAAGATTCACTTCTAGATACGGTAAATAATTTCTAAATGGCAAAAGTTATACAATTCTAATATGAAACCCAGGCTGTTGGATTTCAGGCCCTCTGCAAAACTTCTCAGAGTTTGTCATCAACAAAGTGAGAGTAAAACCATTTACTATGTGGGGAAAATATAGGGACTCAGTAAGACAGTTCCAGGAAAATGCATCAGCATGTGTGGGTTTACCAATAATTTTTTTTAAAAAAGGCCATATTGCCTTTTTAGAAGAGAGCAATGAATCTTAGATTCTTCTGTGATTTGTGTATGGAAATGAAGCATATGTTTCGGCAACCTAAAAAAACCCTTGAATAATAAATATCTTAATAATAAACATCTTAATAAATATCATCAGGTCATAAGTGATCTTTGGATAAGAAGTAAGCTAATTTTGTGACCTAGGGTTGATTTTCTATAGGTCTTATTTATCCTATTCTCCAGTCAAATATCTAGAACAGAATACTCTGGTGATTCTGAGAAACTAAAACAAAATATGTACAAAAATAACAATAATAATGTTTTCAGTGACATTATATATATATATATATGAATTTTTTTCTGATCTTTCTAAAATTAGGTTAAGTAGATCTTCATTATAGATTAGAAGCTGGTGTTTGAAGAAAATTAACTTAGAAACTGTATTTTTTCCACTTCTGTGTGGAGGTATCATTCTGAATGCTCTTGGGGAAGAGTAGTAGAAAAGAAAAAAATTCTAAACTCACTTTTTTAAAAAATATGTAAGCGGCTCATCTTTAAAACACCCAACCCTTTTTCTAATTTAAAATATCTAGTCCATAGATAAAACAAGGCAGGATCATATCTTTTTAAAAAAAAACATGTTAAAAGTAAAACAAAACCAACATATAACATTTTTTTTCTTTTATATTTTTGGTTGGTTGTGGGGCCTGAACTCTGGGCCTGGGCGCTGTCCCTGAGCAATTCAGCTCAAGGCTAGTGCTCTACCACTTGCGCCACAGCCCCACTTTCGGTTTTCTCTTGTTTAATTGGAGATAAGGAGTCTCACTGATATTCCTGCCTTGGCTGGCTTTGAACCACGATCCTCAGATCTCAGCCTCCTGAGTAGCTAGGATTACAGGTATGAGCCACTGGTGCCTGGTTTAACATTCTTTTTCAACATTAAAACTTATTTTGCTTTTGGTGAACACCCATTCTAATCTAAAACCTTAGGCAGCTGTGTGCCAGTGGCTCACATCTGTAATCTTAGCTACGTAGAAGGCTGAGATCTGAAGACTGCAATTCCAGGCCAGCCCAGTAGAAAAGTTCCAGTGAGATTCTTAACTCCAATTGATTACTCAATAAACAGTAGCATGGGTCAATGCAGCAGAGCATGAGCCTTGAGCAAAGGAGCACAGGGACAGTGCCCAGGTCCTGAGTTCAAGCCCCACAACCAACAAAATAAATAGGTAAATAAATAAATGCTTAGACCATGAATGTTGCAAAACCCATTAACCAAGAGTGTACCCACTGTGTTAGACTCAACTGTATTTGTAATTAGGGAGGCATGTGAGTAATTGGGTTTTTTTTTTACCCTGAATATGTTAGCTGTAATATAAATGCATGCTTGCATTATATATTTTTGGATTCACTCATTCATTCATTCATTCATTCATTCATTAGTGGTCTGTGATATAAGAAACTACATACTTCCACATGTCTAGCACAAAGCCCTATGCATGGTAGAAGAGTGCTTATTGATGGTCCACCTCACCTGTAGTACTTCCGTTTCTTCAGAACAAGTCTCTGTGTTTTAAAGATAATGAGATATAGTGATACAAACATCTCACAATCTCTGTATTCCACTATCTCGGTGCTATTCCATCACTGCAGTTATGCCTAATTTCTCTTTATGTGCTAAAATAAGAAAATAGATAACTTAATCCTTTACATAATTTCCACACTAGAAAGAAAACTAAATTCTTTGTGAGATGAAAAAATACAAACAAAAAGCCTCAAAATGTCATTGGTATACATCAGACTTGGTTTGGCAATGTCTTCCTCGTGTGTAAAATATGGCCAAATAGTTGTTGGTCTTCTCTGTGTAGAACATTTAATAATATTCTACCCTTAAAAATCAGAACTTTTGTCAGGTGCCGGTAGCTCACACCTAGTAACTCAGGTGCCTGAGATCTGAGGATATTGATTTGAATCCAGCCTGAGCAAGAAAGCTTGTGAGACTCTTCAATTAACTACCAAAAAATAGCCAGAAGTAGAGCTGTGGCTCAAGTGGTAGAGCACTAGCCCTACCCAAGGACAATGCCCACGCCGTGAATTCAAGCTCAAGGACTGGCACCTGAAAAAAATGAGAACTTTCCCAAACAGCCAACTTGGTTTATAGACATTGGTTTCTAATTAATAATGAATTAATAAAATTAATTTCCATCCAATTCAAGTTGGAACTTTTTACTGTCCTCAGGCACAAGCCCTTTTCTGTGCAAGCACTGCATGCTCAATGCTGTACTAAGTGCTCTTAGCTGTCAAAGGGGAAGCACTGTTGACTGCTCAATTATTTAGGCAGAGGGGGGTGCCTTCTTAAGAGGTACACACTTCAGAGGTTGGGGAAGGTCGCTATAAAGGAGTTTAGATAGTGGAGAACTCTTCCAGTTCACACTTGTATGTGAAAAATGGTATGGGAAAGGAAAATCAGAAGAGGATTCTAAAGTCTATATATTATAAATGAGAAGCACCCGTAAAGTGTCAAATCATTTCCAGTGGAGTGTCAGGTGGATTGATGCTATTATATATCTAACAAATGCTGTGTGTTCTCTTTGTCAAGATCACACTTATTCAAGACTGTAAGGATCCTCTTGAATTAATGGAAACAGGGCTGACAGAGGAAGAACTTGATGTCCAGGATGAGGTAGGATCATTATTTTCTCTGAAGAAGTAATCTGAACTAAATCTTGAGTAAACGGACTAATAAAATGGTGAATGTGTCTGATGAAGGGCTATTCAGGGAAAATACAAAAACTCTTGAAAGGATGTCTTCCTAGGAAGCAAAAACAGAAAAGAAGAAGTCTCCCTCGATTTTGCATTAAGGACTTAGGGAATTTTTGTCTTGGGCTTACAGAGAGCAGCACCTGGCAGCAAATGACACATTGGCCCTGATTTGATAACTCAATATAGTTTCTTGTTCTAGAGACGGTGAATGTCTAACTCAGGCGTTCCATAAGCTTCAGGAATGGGAACCTGAGGACCTTTCTTCATCTGACCGATAGTAGAGTATTAACAACATGCCTTCTACTAAAGGCTGACTGTTTCAGATGCCCTTGTGGTATAACTCTACTCTTAGGAAACTTAACTGAATTTAGAGTATTTGACTAACTGGACTTGTCTGGGAGTGAGAGATCCAATTCCTTCTGCTCTTCCACATACACCATTAGCCAGCATCACACTGGCTAAGAAGAAGACACAAAACCCCAAAGATGGTTGGGCCAGTGTGGCTAATGCCACTATGACCTCTTTGATTTCACTGAGGTCTTTTCATAACGGTATCTTCCAAATGTACTTGCTGTGATTTCAGCTACATCAAAATCTTGGCCTCTATTAAACAGGGGTCAACTAAAGACGGGTATTTTCATGGCTTATCTAGGCTCCCCATTTATATTTATATTTACATAACTGGTTTACTCCCCAACCTAATGTTTGCCACAGGCAAATTTGAAAAGCATGTCTTCTCCAACTTTTCCTGGTCCTAGTAAATAGGCTGAAGAGATTACAACGTCTGCAGTCAAACCAGGCAGTAAGGCTGACAAGCAGAGAACTATAGAGGCAAGACAAAATCATAGGCCCTGCTTCTTAGCCCACTAGCTTAAGGTCTTGGAAAGATACAATTCAGCTAAGATGTCTTTCAGCATCACTCATTATGACTCTGTGGATATAGAGCAACCTTAATTTGAACTGAATTTCAAATATCATCAAAATTGGAATGTTAGAAGCTGCTATATCCAGCGTATTTATTGTCACAAAAAGGGGACATTCAGAGCTGCTATGGCCAATAAGGTATCTCAGCACAGTGGTCTCAAGGTGAGCTTTGAACCCAGATAAACTTGGGGCCAAGTTATCTTTCTACTACTTCTGGCCGTAGCTGAGGGCAAATAACTTATTCTGTCTTCATTCTATTATCTACATATGAAATAGAAAAAAAAGCCATAGAATTGTGAAAATTAAATAATGTGAATAAGTACAGTATGTTGAATTTAGTAAATGCTCAATGAATAGTAATTATAACTAGTATAGAAATCTGATTATAGTCTAATAAAGATCAAAATTAAATCCTTATTTTTACCCTGATGATATGTATTAAAGATGAGTACAACCGAGTAACCAACACCATAAAGACATATTTGTAAAAAGTATAACATAGCCAGTGCTGGTGTCATGCCTAAAATCCAAGCTACTCAGAAAGCTGAGATCTGAGGATCATTGTTTGACGCCAGCCCATGTGATTCTTTTTTATAAGTTTTTTTTTTTTTTTTGTGTGTGTGTGTGTGTGTGTGTGGTTTTCTTTTTTTTTGGGGGGTCCGGTCATGGGGCCTGAACTCTGGGCCTGGGCGCTGTCCCTCAGCTCTTCAGCTCAAGGCTAGCGCTCTACCACTTGAGCCACAGCGCCACTTCTAGCTTTTTTCTTTTTGCTTATGTGGTGCTGAGGAATCGAACCCAGGGCCTCAGGCATGCAAGGCAAGTGCTTTACCACTGAACCACCTTCCCAGCCCCCCATGTGATTCTTATCTCTAATTAACCATCAAAATCAAACAATAAAACAAAAAAATCAAAACAAAAAGCCAGAAGTGGAGCAAAAGTGGTAGAGCTCTAGCCTTGAGCAAAAAAGGTCAGGCCCTGAGTTCAAGTCACAGGACTGGAAAAAAAAAAGTTAATATAAACCTAAGGAGACCTAAGGAGAATTAACTGTCTTCTTTGCCTCCACAGGCTATGCGTAGACTTGCCTCCTGAGAGTGGACTCCGGAGGTTGCTGTCAGCAAGGACTACAACACAAAACTTCCTATGTCATCCTATGCAGAGAATTTCTGCATCAACTATTTCTTTGGAATTGAACACCCATTCTTTTTCTGATACATTTTAAAAATATTTGAGGTTTCTGAGCCTCTTAGCCATTAAATGAGGATTAAGGTCGTCTCTATGCTTTATTTCTAAAACAAAAGCTTACCTCGATGTGTATGTTGTGTGAAAATGAGTCAGGTGAATCACCACATCCAGGACCTGCTGATTGTGTGACATGCTGTCCACCCCTCCACACAAATGGGATCCCAGCTCACAGGGAACCAGCCCCGCTCTGATTGGGTGGAGTAAGTGTTCATCTAATAGCCTCTGTGGCCAGGTGGGCTAGGAAGTACTATCAAAAAAGAAAGGGTTGGTTTCTGTCTGACCTTGATCCCCATAAACTGTACTGGTCATAGAGTGGTCAGTAAAATATAGTCATGACTGCACTCATCAGTAAAAGCCTTAAAACACTAACAAATAAGCCTAAGGTTTTTTAAGTTATACTTTTATTATCCTTAAGTAGTTGTAGAAAGAAGTTACCATGTCAAGAAGCCAGAGTTTTAAAAATGCCATGTTTGGTTACTACCTAATACTAAAGTGTTGCTAAATGTGACCAGATAGAACCAGAATTCAGCTTCTTTTTTGGGGAGGGGTGGGGGTGGGAGGAGGGCAAGTTCTGGAAATAGTTTAGCTTAAAAGGTGTTAAAACTGGGATGATGTATTTTTAAAAATTGTCCTCCAGAGAAGTTAAGTGATAAGGAGATTTTTATAGTTTATAGAAATCTGTTCTGTTAGGATAACAATTACAGATCACAATGAGAAGAAAATATATGACAAACCTCTATTTTTGAATGCTGGTATGTGGTGGTGTTGTTGTTGCCATTATTAGGCTTGAACTCAGGTCCTGGGTGCTGTCCATTAGCTTTGTCACTCAAGGTTGGTGCTCTATCATTTGAGCTACAGCTCACTTCCAGCGTGTGTGATTAATTGGAGGTAAGAGTATCATAGATTTTCCCACCTGGCAGGCTTTGAACTACTATCCTCAGATAAGAGCCCTCTGAGTGGCTAGGATTACAGCACCAAACTCAAATGTAGTTTTAATTTATCTATAGTAATGATTATCTTGTGAAATTTATATAGATCTGAGCTATTTAAAAGCTAACGAGAAAGCCAATGCATGGTGGCACATGACTATAATTCCAACAGTCGGGAGGCTGATGAAGAAGACTTCAGTTTAAAAAAAAATAAATAACATGAAAACTGTTACTTTAAGTAAAAACAACTCTGATTTATATTTTTCCATAAATACGTAAATATGTAGCAGCAAATAAAGTAATAAAATATTCTTTAACTGAGTTCTGATTACTTTTCAAAAAAATCAAAAAAATATGTTACATAATCTAGGAGGTGTTTTTGTTTTTGGTTTTTTTGATTAGTTGTGGGGTTTGAACTCTAGGTCTGGGCGCTGTCCCTCAGCTCTTCAGCTCAAGGCAAGCATTCTACCATTTGAGCTACAGCGCCACTTCTGGTTTTCTGAGTGGTTTATTGGAGATAAGAGTCTCACAGACTTTCCTGCCATGGCTGGCTTTGAACCACAATCCTCAGATCTCAGCCTCCTGAATAGCTAGGATTACAGGCATGAGCCACTAGCACCCGGCAGTCTAGGAGTTTTTAAAGACAAATATTTCTAAATAAACTTAACATAAAAATTAGCTTGAAATTTATACATTGGAAATACAATTTTTAATCCATATTTGAAATCATAAATTTTATTTTTGAACTTTTAGTTTTTTCCAAGTGCCAACAATTTTTAGATATTAAATATAATACATGGTGTTGGTCTTATGCTTTTCTCCCATGAAATTCATACTGGAGTAAAATTGTACCTCATTTCTAGACAAAAGTACTAAGGTCCCCAACTCAGACAATGCCTTGCTTGATAGAGAACTGTATGTCCCTTTTGCCCAAATATACGGAATGCCTAGTTGTACTTGGGTATCCAAAGGTACAATGTCTGATCTCTGGGGATTTTTTTCTTAAAACAATCAGTAACCACATGGTTATACTTCTGCAGGAAGATGATCAATGACTATATCAAATTAGTTGATCCTGAACCTTGGTTATATTAAGCCATAGTACAATTAGGATCATAATACTATTGCACTCTCATACAAATATCTGCTTTTGATGGTAAAAAAAAATAAAATCCTATCTCTAAAAAGTGCATTGCTGTCTTGCAGAAAAGGGATGAATAGTGCTCATTCTTTTAGGAAATACCAAAGCCCCATTTTATAGCAAGATTAGTTATCTAAAATCTTGGGCATGTTGTGACTATAGAAAACCAGTCTGAGATGGGTACCGGTGGCTTATGACTGTGACCCTAGCTACTTAGGAGGCTGAGATCTGAGAATTTTGGATACAAGACAGCTCGGGCAGAAAATTCTCTCATCTCCAACTAACTACTCAAAAGCTGGAAGTGGAGCTGTGGCTTAAAGTGGTAGAGTGCTAGCCTTGAGCAAAAGAGCTCAAGGACAATGCCCACGCTCTGAGTTCAAGCCCCAGGATTGAAAAACAAAAGAAAATCACAGTGTGGCTTGTTTTACAAGCATGATAGGATACTATCTCTTCTATGAATTTTATGCATAATATGAATAATGCATATTTAATTCTTTAATTCTGAAATTAAAGCTATATTTTTGTTACATTTTTAACCTATAGAATAAGATTCTGATATTTTATGTGATATTCAATAACAAGTGAAAGTAATCAAATCCTGTAAACTTGGAAGCATTTACACGTATTATTTAATAAATGTAAAGTCTTTTTGTTTTGTTGTTTTGTTTTTGAGACAATATGTCATTATCTTGTCTGAGCTGACCTAGAACTTGAGATCCTCCTGCCTCAATCTCTCCAGTGCTAAGATTACAACATGTACCACTATGCCTGGCTCTACAGATAGCTTTCATGACTCAGATATATCCTTTCAGAGATGAATCATTGAATAGAATAAAAACCCTACGTTGCAAGTTTGCCATTTCTCTTATTAGTCATCATTTTAATGTAATTTTCCACTTCCACTTATGAGTGTAGAATTTTTTGTTGATTTATTGATGTAATAAAAATGTTACAAATTTCTCCAGCTTTTTTTTTGGGGGGGGGTCCAATCGTGGGCCTGAACTCTGGGCCTGGGTGCGGTCCCTCAGCTCTTCAGCTCAAGGCTAGCGCTCTACCACTTGAGCCACAGCGCCACTTCCGGCTTTTTTCTTTTTTTGCTTATGTGGTGCTGAGGAATCAAACCCAGGGCTTCAAGCATGCAAGGCAAGCGCTCTACCACTGAGCCACCTTCCCAGCCTCATATTTCCAGCTTTTAAACAATGGTTTCCATTACTTTAACCAAAGTTTTTATTAGTGCAACATACATATAAAAAGTATAAAAATCATAATGTGCTACTTAAAAAAATTCTCATAAAAAACACGTTAGCTCATATCCAAATCAATAAGAAGAATATAACCACCACCCAAAAGTCCCTTTATATTATGTTCCAGTAATTGTCCCAAGAATAACAACTCTCCTAATTTTTAAAACCATCTTTCTTTTTCTGAAGCAGCTTACTATGTAGCCAAAATTGGCCTTGGACTCACAAATCTCCTGTCTCAGCTTCCTGAGTACTGGGATTACAAATCTGTGCCAACATGCCTGGTTAAAACCTGTTAGTTGTTTTGGTTTTTTAAACTATAAGAAGTTAAAATAAAAGATTTCTTTTTTCTTTTTTGTATTCATCTTATTTCAGTGTTACAATACTGAGATTCATCATGTGATTGCACATGCAGTTAGTCATTAATTCTGCCTGCTGTATAATATCCCACTGTTTAAAAATTTACTTATCCCCCTACTATTTATGATTATTTGTTTGTTTACACTTTTGAATTTTCATGAACAATGCTTCAATAACCATTTTTTTTTGGTCAGTCGTGGGGCTTGAACTTAGGGCCTGGGTGCTTCTCTGAGCTTTTCTGCTTTGAGCCACGCTCCGCTTCTAGCTTTCTGGTGGTTAGTTGGAGGTATGAGTCTCACAGACTTTCTATTTTTTATTTTGTTGGTTATGGGGCTTGAACTCCAGGTTTGGGTGCTGTCCTTGAGCTCTTCTTATGGACTTTCCTGCTTTGGCTGGCTTCTAATGATGATCCTCAGATCTCAGCCTCCTGAGTAGCTAGGATTACAGGCATGAACCACCAGTGCCTGACTGAAATAATCATTCTTTTAAGGTACTTTTCTATTTTCCAGAAATATTGGAAGGATTCTCTTATTTGGGGCTAGGATGCATATTTCAGCCAAAGCAAGGTACTTTCTTTTAAGGTACTTTCCTATTTTCCAGAAATATTGGAAGGATTCTCTTATTTGGGGCTAGGCTGCATGAGATTTCAGCCAAAGCATAGGGTATTTATTTGAATAAGACTAGCTATATAAAGAATTTTGGTTTCAGCTAGAATAGAAAGTATTTATTATGCAAACAGTGTAACAGGCAATGGAACACAAGACATAAACTTTTTTGACTTTTAGTAGTAGTTTTATTTCTTTAAATTTTTGTATTGTTATAAAAGTGATATACATACAGAGGAGTTACATAAGTCAGGTAAAGAGTATATTTCTTTTGGGGCAATGTCACCCCTTCCCTCACTCTCTCCCAGTTTTTCCCTCCCATCCCCACCCACAAGTTGTATAATTCATTTTCGACATAGTGTCTAGTGAGTACCACTGCTGCATTTGTTCACCCTTTATCTCTCCATTTCTGTGCTCCTCCCCCTTTCCTTCCCAATAAACTCTTATTATATGATTTTAGGTTATATAAAAGAGCCACACAATGAAAAATGGCTAAAAAGAATGGGAGAAAAGAATAGTGAAGTAGAGTCTTATACTTCAAGGCCATTATCAACACATTGTTTTAGAACAAGGGCTTTAGGACTCTGAACCCCATTACTTAAATCCTTGTATCTTAAGATAATGATAAATCCACATGAATTTGCAAGATTCGCATACCCTTTGTCCAGTCCTCCTCAATGTAAACAACTTTCATAACAAGACAATATATAAAAACAGGAAACTAGTATTGGTACAGATCATTGAGCTTGTTCAC